GACTACGCCATAGTCAATGGCCCAGTGCGGGTTGACTTCACACGTATCTTTGAATTTCTTCTCAGATATGTGCAGGTTGTATCACGATGTTTTCCTTCACCTTAATAACGTCGGATAAATGTACATATGTAAATCGAAAAATACGTTGGTACATGACGGGATTCGGCCCAAAGACCTGCAGATTACGATCAAGTGCTTAAGCACTGGGCCATTGATGATTATCGAACGTCGGTGGCTTAGGGGTTAAGCTTTTGACTTTTAATCTGCAGGTCATGAGTTCGATTCCCGCCATGTACATTTAACCGACATTCTTCGGTGATGGAAAACATCGTGATGCTGCACATATCTGAGAAGAAATTCAAAGATATGTGTGAAGTCAACCAACTTGGGCTAGTCTTGACTATGACCTAGTCACTAACTTAGGGTAGGCTCAGTGGGGACGTGTAGTGAGCTGATAATATTCATTTTTTTTTGAATCTATGTGTACTTATTTCCAATCTACAGTAATATAAAGCGGATGTTTTTTCCAGGGGCATTATCGAAATCAGAGAAATTAACTCGTTTAGGCATACTGTTATCCAATATGACGTTACATCCACGTTTAGGCAGCAGTTTGTTACATTCAGTTGTGTTAGGCAATACATTAGCTACGGCAAATATTGTCAGCCATTGTTCTGATAATGTAGAGTTATTCAGTAATGCACCAGACAGGAGAGAAGGTAAGTTAAATTAACAAAAAGTTTAAATATTACTAATATGCACAGTGTCAAATAATATGGTGGAGGGTATCAAATTGTAAGAAAAATTACAAAGGTTAATGTAACTTTTAAACAAAAAGAGTTGGATTTTTTTTAGTATTTTTCTCCGTGTAGTTATCGATCTGACTATACACCATTACTGTTTTATCGTTGAATTTTCCGCGTGTCCCAAAATATATATAAAATTGTCGTGTCACAATTTTCGTTCCCATACTCCTCGGAAACGGCTTGACCGATTCTCATGAAATTTTGTGAGCATATTGAATAGGTCTGAGAATCGGCCAACATCTATTTTTAATACCGCGCGGACAGAGTCGCGGGCGACGGCTAGTATATTATGTGTTTATTTCCTTAGAGATACGTGAAATTAAACGTAAATATTCCAACAATTCCGATCATTCCGCGTTCCACTGGATACAAGATGAATATGAAAGGACACTAAAAGAAGAAGGCTGGAGTGGAGTCAACGATTGGTGCGAGAGACACGGACTAAGGAAAGATAGGCTGAATTACGTTAAATGTAAGTAAATTAATCTATTAATATATAAAATTTGACTGTCTACATGTAAGGCCCTTATAAATTTTCCAAACCTAACGATTTTAGTTGCTATGTGACTTACGTATATGTGTCATACCTAAAGACGCTACAATTTTCAAAATGGCGACGCAAATCTTAACAGTTGACGTGTCGCTATGTCTATTGACAATAGACGAATCACATCGAAGATTCGACGTTGTGTTTTAGTTTAAAAAAAATGTTTCGAAATAAGTTGCCTTATGTACGAAGGGGCTAACTGTGAGTTTCTGACATCAAAATCTCCTTTTTAAATATGACGATATGTTCAATAACATCAAGTACAGTCACGTTGGTTGTCGGTGTATCAATATGTAAACACATTCATAAGACCATTAAGAGCGTCAGTGGCTCAGGGTTTAAGTACTTGACTTGGAATCTACAGGTCTTAGGTTCCAATCCCACCATGTAAAATGTTTTTTTACATATATACTTTTATCCAGAGTTATTATCATGACATGTGTGAAATTAACCAATCCGCACTGGGTCAGAGTGGTTGACTATGACCTAGTCAGTAACTAAGGGTAGGCTCCGAGCTCCTCAGTGTGATGGAGGATAGTGTTGATGCATATCTCCAGTCAAGTTTATACATTCCAGCGATATCCAACCTACATTTGCAACAATTATTACAATCCAGTATCATAGAGGCTCACCCTGATGTGACAGAGTTGACGCGTTTCTCTGACATAGAGGAACTGTCAGCTGGAGCGTTACTGTCAGGTGTCAACTCTCTGTTGGTGACAAGGAGACATGTTCGTACTAAAGGCAAGCTTAGCACTGTTGTTGAATTGTTTACTAGGTAACGTACCTTGAGATAAAATTTAATATAATAACTAGCTGTCGCCCGCGACTCTGTCCGTCCTAAAAAAAAAAGTGTAGCCTGTGTGTTCTTCCAGACTATGTTCTATGTGTATGCCAAATTTCATCAAGATTAGTTCAGTTGTTCTGGAGATACCTTCAAAAAACATCCATCGATCTCAACTTCCAGAACGGCTGAATGGATTTCGCTGAATGGTATAGATGTAGAACACAGTCTCGAAGAGCTCATAAACTATTTTTTTTTATTTCGGGCAGACGGAGTCACGGACAACAGCTATATCAGTATAGTGTATCTTAAAATTAACTTTTCAGTTCTGGTGAGAGAGCTCATATTGGCAGTGAGAGTGTTAATTATGGTATTAAGAAGAGAAAAGCCAAAACACAGTTACTAGCTTACTTTGGTGGTTATCATTCCACGGAGCGACGAGCTCTGGTAGTTTATAAAACGACTGTGGTATCACCACAGGCTGTACTACTCTTCTGCAATGGTGATATAGAAATAATGGTCAGTGTCTCTTTCTTGCATACTAAATTAGAACGAGACAACACATTTTGTTATTCCCTAATATAAGAATTTGGTATAATACTGTCTCTCTCTTACATGGTAATTAAGAATGAGACAAGTTATTGTATATTGTTGTTGTCTCTTTCTGACATTATTGTGTTGAATGAAACAAATGCAGCTTGTCTTACACTATATCACATATTTGATAATGTTACTATTGCGTTCTCCTTCTTATATATTGAGTTAGAACGAGACAATATAATATGTTATTTTTTTACAGAGATCTGAAGAAAATGAAGATACTGCAGTATTAAGTCTGCCAAGACATAGACTACATATACATGTGCCAGCGGAGTAAGTTTTTTTTTCATATAACAGGGAAGTAGAGCCCGCGAAAAAGAAAGTAAGGTTTAAATAGTCTTTAAAATAAAAAAATAAAGATGTTTACTTTACTTTTTTAGATTTTTTACTATAGTGGCAGTATAACTTAAACCTTTGTCAGAAAAAATTTAAATGTCAACCGATCTGTCACATCTGATATTTTTTTTATATTATAAGGCGGCAAACGAGCAAGCGGCCACTTGAAATCGCTGAAACAGCGAAGTGACCGTTGCCCATAGACATACGTCATTGCATATGCGTTGCCTACCTTTAGTCGACGGAGGAGAGGATGCATGGAAAGGGAAATTTTTTTGTTTCTCAATTCCGGAAAGTCCCCTTCCACTTCCCATCGTTTCCTTATAAGAAAAACTGTGGGAAGAGAAAGAAGACTGAATTAGGCCTCCGGGACGCACACTCATCAGACTGCACGCGGAATTGCTTCCACTTGAGGCGTGTCTTCTGTGTGGTCGTGGTATTTCACCGGGCGAGCCGGGACAATTCTCTCTTTTTT